CTCTAGCTTAAAGAACAGGTTTACAGGGAGTCTCAGTTTTATCGCAGGAGTTTGGTTGAAAAAATGCTCGGTATTTTGACACTGATTGGAAACAGTACTCAAGACAACTTAAGCAGGGTTTCTTTCCTGTGGCACTCCTTAACAGTTCTTGGCTTTATTTATTCTAGTACTACCTAACTCAAAATAGAAGCCCTGGCCAGGTAGCTTTCCCCACTCTCCTACCTCGACAGCAATTTACAGACCATGTAATCGAATGTAGTCGCATAAGTACCGTCGTTTGACCGAATGAAACAGCTTCTAGAAATCCAGAAAAACGATTTCACTCTAGTTGCCACGATTCAGCATTGTGAATCGATGTGGGACTGTTTGGTATCCAAAACTTGTTCCATCTCTGTTGAATCCAAGTCTCCCAGGGAGGCTAGTTTATTCGGCGCAAATAAATGCGAACGGAAATCCACTGGAATTCAAATCAAATTCGGAATGATTTTGACCGGACAGGTCTTGATGAATAGAATAACCCTTTGCTTCCTGTTTACTTCCCAGTTTTTACCTGGCATTCACTTTTCCAGTCCTATCCAATGTGGTTGTACAGAGATTTTGAGACAAAATAAAATCTTATAAATCCTCCTGTTATTGTTCATTTCAACACAAACTGTGAAAATATTGTATTGTCGTGTGCTACAATTTTCCGAACATATTCAACTTTTACTTCTATGGAAACAATGACTGCGAGATGAGAAGTTGGCTTCACGAATGCAAAGAAGAGCCATGTACACGTTTCGATAAAATAATTTAGCAAAGGGAAGAAGCGGTATATTTGCAGAGCAGGTGATAATTTTTTCTACAATATCCTGCATTAACAGGAATGGGATGAAACTTATAAATATCTTTTTATTCTTGTTACTCCTAGTCCAAACTATCGAACATACGGAATATTTGGTCATGCAAGGAAAGCAGTCCTTTTGGCTTTCGACCAACGAGGCTTCATAATCTGAGTGTTATTCATAAAATTTTATCATCCAGAACTGAGTGGCGTTTATCCGCATTTACTGTTCGGTCAAAATTTTGGTGTTTGTTATACTTCAATGTTTTATTACCATGACATCGAATTTAAAAAGATTTCTCATACCATCTTGCTTTCTTCAGGTTTTTTAAAAGTAGAAAATATTCCGGATTCAAGAGCCAGAGGTAAATTCTAAAAATAAACCGTTTACTTCATAAGAAAATTTATCCGTAAAATTATTAGAATAAAATGTGTTCCACGTAAGTTTTTAAAGGTATAAATCCAACAGTGAATCAGGGCGCTTGAAAGTAAAAGCGATTCATCTCATTCTGAGTTGGACTCCATATTGAAGTTGTCGGGAAAACTTTTAACCGGGTCTTCAAACTCGGCATTTTGCCATTCAATGTAAGTCCCTTGTGATATTTTTATATTTCAATTTTTTAAGTCTTTCAATAATTTACTTTTGTGCAATTAGAGCAGAGAACAAGTGGACTATAACTTTTTGTTTCTCCTCTGGGATGGTATGAACTCCAAGTTAAACGCGAAAAATTGGACCAAAGTGATGCGCAAATACAAGGTCAATATAAATGCAGAATACACTACACGTGTCAGTAAAATATGTCCTATAATATCTGATTGGTAGGTGAGTCATCAATCGAATAGAGTCTAAAGAAGGAATGATTAAGTCGAAAGATTGAGATTGGAATACAAGACATTGCAACTCATGCGCTATCTAAATACATACCTTGACTTCTGTCACTGAGGGTAAATCATACATAAGTCTATGACGACGAAATTCCATCTTTGAGGGAACTGAAACCTGAGAAATTGAAAAAATGAAAAAAGTTATCGATACAATCACAGAGTTGAAAAATATAAAAGGTAGAATATCTGGGCCCCACTCAATAGCAGCACATTGGATCGATAATAAAGGCCCTTATTCGCTAGATTGGTACAAAGATCAGAAGCACAAGAAGAACAATGCGGGCAGAATTGATTTTGACCATCAGTCTCGAGTGCTATCAAACAGCTGTTAACGCGCAGTTACACAATATGCATATATTCATGTCAAATAGGCCATGTGTGAGGGAAATGAGGAGTAGGACAATTGAATTTAGCTGCCGGGTTTGTTTCATCCAGTGTTTATTTCTAAGATTTAATGTAGCATTTCTAGAGTGTTTCTTTGGTTTATTTCTGTACACCTGGAATCATGGCACACAAGCAGATACCTTCTGATGCTCAAGTCGTACACGCAGACGAGGTTTAAATAAACCAACAAATCGATCGGATCGAAGAGCTAAAAGCCTTTCGGCCTAAAGAAAAACACAATCAGGTACTTACGTCAGTTGGAGTGAGTGAAAAGGGGCCGTTGATAGAATAAAAATTCGTAATATATAAAATAATTATCTTTAAGGCCTAGTCCAAGAAGTTTGGCTCATCCTATGCCTGTATAACACAAAACAAGCGGGGTGACTATTTGTCCATTCATTAGATTGTCTTGACAGTAATCCAAGGAAAGCCTACTGAATTAAGAAAGCTCAAAAGTGATAGGTTTCCGAAATATAACTTACACCAAAAATGGATAAAAATAAACGTAAAAGATACAATATTTCACGCATACTGTAACAATTTGTTCATCAATAACATTGATTTCAGACTGTTTTTATTTCTGCTAATAAATCAAGGCAATGAATTTGTTTGTACTGGTATCAGAGTATTAATTCAAACGATACAAACGAGCGTTGTTGAGAACTCCTTCGGTTTTTAAAGTTATAAATCAACCACAATTAACTCCGAATATTACCGTGCATGATAAACAAGTATGGAAGTGAAAACACGATTTATTAGTACTTCATGAATAAGAAATTCCTGCAATACACTTACCCGAACCAAATCTGCTGAATTCAGGTGAATTCCGTGAAAAAACTCAATTAGTTTTTGTTTAATGTAAGCCGATTTAAGGCTGGTAGATTTCCTTTATCAGTTCCCAGCGGAAATAGGGTGCAATTCGTGGTTGGACACAGTCTGGCGAACATCAGTAATTGAAACAAGTTACTTGCTCAACACCTGGGGTAAATACACTACTAATTATTCGTGTCGCTGAAGGAACATTTCCACCAAAAATAGTTAGTAATGACTGACACGCTTAGTTTAAGCATCCTCTGAGAACAGCGATTAGAGTTGATTTAGACCAAAAAGCCTTAGATTGTGTCAACTAACAAGTGAACAAAGATGCAATTTTGAATAACTTGAACGGAATAAACGTGTTGATCAATAAAAATTGATTGCTATAAATTTAAAGGTACTTTCCATTTATCTTCCGCGCAGTGATTTCAAGAAAACCACATTACCTTTTACAAAGGGCACGGAAAATGGCACAACAGTGAAGCAAACCTCGGAGTCCTTGCTCAATCGAACCGATGGGGCCCGTTTGGAGGGGTTTGGTGTGACACAAATCAAGACGAGCTCGTCCATGGGGTCACCAAACCCGGTCGAAACAAGGATAGTGATAAAAGAAAATGATTTGGCCCAAAACTCTCACAGACCCAGAAGACCTTCTCTGCTGCCTGCGTCATCTGTCACTTCATTCTTTCAAATCGGCCCAACCTCCGAGCACAAAGATATACAAGAGAAATTGAGAAAACAAGAGGAGACTATTCAACATCAGAAAGCGGTGATTAATAATCTCAGGGCACAGTTGGATCAAGTCAGCAAGGAGGTTGGTGTTCAAATGAATAAAAACCCAGGAATATCACTCACTCACTCACTCACTCACTCACTCATTCACTCACTCACTCACTCAACCAATCAATCAATCAATCAATTACTAATCAGTTCTTCAATCAAAAAACAATTAAGAGATCAAAATGTTTGAGAATAAAATACAGTCGAGTCAATAAATGGTTGATAAATCTATTTAGAAGAGTAGAAAAAATTATTGATCAGTTATAAGCTATTTTGTTCATATTAAAAATTTGAACATTTTCCAGTTCAGTTTCCATGTCTTACGATCCAAGCGGCTTCTACATTCAGAGCATCTCGGACCATGCTTGCACTCCTTTTCACCACCCGAGTGTTCCGTTATTCAGCACCGTGTTATGTACGAAAATGTGTTTTATATCTTATTAAGCCGTAAGTAACCGAGTGAACTCTATCAAAAATACCAGTAATTTTATAGACAGTTACCCTCTAAACAGTCTGTTTCAATGACAAAGTATTATTGTTAAAACGATATTGGTTTCACAATAATGTAAAGTCAACAGAGCGATGTACAGTGAGTGATTCCCAGCCTTTCAGTTCATGCTTTGTACAGCTCTGTACACGACAAAATTCAAGGTATAATCAAATAACATCCTCCATTATGATCAAACAACAACGCAACAGGTTTCCAAAGCGAAAAAACAAACAAACAAATCTATCACTCTTTTTGTATTGCACATGCAACATTTGTACAAACAAGGTTTCAAAAGGAGGCAATACTGAACCAAAAAAGAACTACCGCGGGACAAGCTCACACTTGGAGTTTGATGGGCCACTGATCAAATCGCTTCAGTCAAGCGTTCCTCCCACTGCCCAATTAAATAATTAAAATAACGTGGCGCAATTACGTGTTCCGCAAAAAACCATCATCAAAACATCATACAAGTTAAATTCTACGCGTTCCCAGATCTTACTGATAGTGAAAGAAAACATACATGTCAACTGAAGTGATTCATCGAACTCTCGCTACAGCTCTTCATATATAATGGTAAGCGTGTAAACGAGAGATTCTTGCAAATACGTTCACTGCCTGGTTGAAAATAAATGTCAAAATTAGTCGTCAAGAAGTGAGCTGACACGTAATCGGTTATATAGATAATCTGAATCGACGGAGACCGAAAAAACAAAGATTTTCTGATTCTTGAAACAGAATGAATAAAACTATGGTTAGGAACAAATATTTGAGAATTTCTCACAATAACAGTCTGAAATGCACCTCTTGAATCATTGAAAATTGATGCTTGATGGAACTTATGCATTAGATTATCTTCAAACCATGCTTATATCGACCCAATACCGTTGTCAAATTTTACAGGTTAAACGCAGCGAGGAAGCGCTGAATGTGCAAAAACTGGCCGAAACTGAAGCCCGAATTGAAGTGGACCGACGCATGAACCTGTTGGCCACATTGACTCGCGAATCCGCAAACAAAGATGCCATGCTTCGCCAACTGGACGCAGCATTGGGCCGGTTGACAGCCGGTTGGCAGCGACGGGAACAGCAACGTCAGGCTGAGGTGAACGAATTGCGCACTTCAGAACAGAAATTGATCCGCGAGCTAGACGAAGCTCGTCACCGTCTGGATACGGTTCAGACGGAGTGCGTTTCTTTCAAATTTGTATCTAGTTGTCTTTGTAGGGCTTTGATGGGGCAAATGCAACACCCTAAAGTATTTTCATGTAAATATTCACTTTTCACCAGTATTAATTCGGCCTAAGGAAATACAGGCTGATCATTCAAGAGGTGAAAACAACTATTACCAGCTCTCCCCATTGTCGTCGACTTGAAAATCATTTCTTCATATAAAATGAGCAGTAGATGATGACTGACCAAAAATACGCCCAAGAGTTAATAGAAAATCCAAACTGTTTCATAAGAAACACCATATTTCCAATGAAATGTATGTCCTAGACTGAGTGATAAGATTTTTATCATCACCTTACTCCAACCCGAGAATTTTGACTTTGGTTTATTGTTTATTACAAACTAGTGGAACTTTCTTACGGGAGTTTGATAAAGTCATCCATCCCATTTTCTGAGAACACAATTCTTTCATCAAAATAGTTTTAGACCGCGACCCAATGATATGACATTACCTTATCTAATGAAGTCACTAAGAACCAGCTACACCTCAGAATTTCATTCCGACTTCACATAAAGATCGTGTTCAACCAGAGTGACCGGTTTCAATGAACATATGTCAGTTTACATTGTTCTAACGGGTTCCTAAAATCCGATATGCCTGACTTCTTTAGTGTTACATCAGTCTACAATATCGGTAAGTTTGTTTACCCAAAAGCCCTAAATGAAAAAAATATTTCTACGGTATAGCATCTGCAATGCTGATAAAGCAGGGTTTGATCTTAATTAGAATGTTATGTCCCACGTCATCCTAGATCCCTTAGCTGAATCTGCTGGCTCTGTGGAGTAATTAAATAAATGAAATCTGTTAACCAATGTAATATATTTATTTATTGATTAATTTGAAACTCATCACCATCCGCACAGCGTGCGAAGCAGATGATAGCACAAGGCATTAGCAAAACAATTAATTTAGGGTTTGTTTATAGGCACAGATGGCTCCAACCAAAGCAGACAATTTTCCCAAGGATTTAAAATCAAAGCCTTTGGCCATTAAAAGCTTGAACTGAAAGACAGGGTGGTGGTGGATGAGAGAGTAGTTCCTATGGTGACCATCGTCTGATTAGGAGGATTTTTCAATCTTAGGAGGCTGTTTAAAGTCAAATGCCTCCATTATAACTTATGGGTCAACGGTAACCTGGATGTCCGGGGCCCAGGTCATGCACAGGGACTTTGAGGATCTGAAATCAGAGGTTTTCAAGTCTCATATGTGAACTAACTGCCTGGAGCACATAAACCCAACTTTAACTCCAGACATTTCTTTTTTCCTCTAGTGTTAGGAAAATTCTCTTGCCATGGATGTATAAATTCACTGGCGTTATAAGTCTACAATGCTAGTACCCGGCTGTGGGATTGTTTACTGGAGCAACAATATGGAAAGAGGGTAAATCGGAGTGGATAGAATGAAACGCGGTCTGAAACGGTCAGTTCATGGTTTCATGAAGAACTCAAGACCAGTGGTCAAACAGTTCAACGGTATTCCTTTACTACTGTATTGAATCCACTAATCCGTTCTGGAATCTTTTTTTCATTGTTGAACATGGTTCTTCGCGCGTTCACCAAACACACTACTTGCATATAATTTGAGTAGTACCTCACAGCAAGGGTGATTCCCCGGTAGATGCTTCGAGAAACGCAATCCATTGATTAGGGCAAGAAAGAAAGTTCGCCTAAACAGGAAGGTCATGGGGATTTTAAAGGACTTCAAAATACATAATGGATAGACGGACCGATTAATTGGGAAAGCTTTTCCGCTCTTGAAAATGAAAAAACTTGAGTTGATTTCATTCCAAAAGCAAGTCAATAAATGATGAATGATTTAGTTTTCATTCCATCAAACGATTCTTCATTTATTGTTTCATCTTGCTTTGTGTCTTTGCTGAAATCGGCCACTGCGCATTTTTCAAAATTTTGCACAAAATACCCGAAATTCGTAATATTCTAAATTTGGAAGGCAAACGGCATCCTCGGTTAGCGAGGTTTGTCGAGGTAAGTTGTTGTTCGAAGAAACCCAAAAGGATAATGAAACCAAGATCCGGCACAAGAGAATGGCAGAAGGCTTTGTTCACTTAGGTCGTATTGGGTTTCCCGATTGGCGATCTTATCACGAACCCATTTAACGGTTTGAGACACTGAGTGATACGGCTTAATGACGTATATGACGACACTCGTGCACTTGTTCAGTTTCTGCCCGTCATTTGTTTACTTTTATTTTGTGTATTCGGTTTTACTTCTCTCAACAACTTGACAATCTTTGATCGACCAAACCGGTAAGAGAAAGAAGAAAAGAGCCAAAACTGGCTCTCCATAATGCAGGTTTGATGGTTTTGCTGACTAAAGCGGATTTCGAAGCTTCTGATAAAAACCGGCCCCAAAAATATCAGTCACGTGATGGTTGTGGTTTTCGTTCATTTACGGGCCAGTGTATCTTGTTTTCTAGTCACGAGGAACAATTGAAGCAGCAACGGGGTGAATGGACCCAAAAACTCATGGACTTGCAGACTGAATGTACCAAGCTCCAGCGGAATATACACACAGCCGAATCGAATACGCGGGAATTGCGGGATCAGTTAAAACAAATGGACCGTGTGGTAGCCCAACGCGAGCACGAGTTGAGTACCGTTCGAGATCAGCTGATGCAAGCTACGCAAAAAGCCAATCAATTGCAAACAGAGAATATTCAATTGCAGAACAGCTTCAAGCAACAGATTTGCGAAGCTCAACTCACACTGAAACGGGAGTCGAAATTGCGCAGACAAGAACTGAAAACTTTGCATGCTCAAATGAAACAGATGGTAGAAGGGGCTTCAAAAGACCAGGAAGAGTTGCAACGTAAACTAAATGAATATTACGATGTGAGTTATCAGCCTCATTCCTTCGTAGGATTGCATTGAAGCTTATGCTGGCGAGGTAAATATCTGAATAAATCTGTATTTACTATATCAAGTGAGGCGCTTTATTTTATTCACCACCCGAAGTGCACAAACTGTACTACCTGTTTGGTGATTAAATTTCTAAGGTACCTCCACTTACCGATTTTACCTTTTATTGTGTCAAGATGTAAGTGAAATGTATTACATTCTTGGAATAAAGCAACCACCTAAAAACGTTTCCAAAAAGAATTTATTGACAAATATTTTATATCAAGATTGTGAAAAGTTCAGTAGCTTTGGTGGGATTCGAATCCACGCATGGATGCCGTTTACGCTTTTGTACAGTGCGCGCTCTACCAGTTGAGGGCACGCCGATAGCACACTGATCTTTTCACATTCGAATCACCCCTCCAGCTTACAGAGGCACACAACATCCACCAGTTAGCATATAGGCTGACTGCACCGACAGGTTTTCCTTAGAATTCACCGGAGTTCATCGAATGAATCAGTGCTATCGGTGTGGCCTCGTAGCTCAGCTGGTAGAACGTGTACTGTACAAAAGCGCAGGCGGCGTCCATGAAAGGGGTTCGAATCCCACCGGAGCTGCCGAACTTTTCCCAATCTCACCATGAATATTTCAGAGTCAGTCACAACAGTCAAACTATTCGGATTAATCTGTTGATATGTTGGCGTCTATGATACGAAAATCCGAATGTGCCGATAATGGAGTATTAAAATATTCACTCTTAAAATGTACCCTTCTTCAAAAGCGGCATATGGGTTCCATATATGGACTAGAGAGCATTTAAAAGTTCATTTGCAGAAAAATCCATAAATGTCCGGAGAAGGAGAATAATCGGCTAAATTATTTCGAAGGGGATAAACGGCAGCTGTTTTGGGGATCAACTCAATGTTTGGCACTACTGTTAAAAATTTCTCCTCCGACATAGATCAAATTAGATTCTCAATTCCTTTTATTCACTAGTGTTTTATGATACAATAGAACTTGTGTTTTGATTTGTTTTACCACATCCGCATCGATATGACAGGATCAATTGCGAAAATTTAGCACCGAAAGGGATAGACAGTTTCAAGATGAATTAACGCGGATACAGGAAACTGCTCGGAACGAACTGCGCGAGGCATCAGATCATTATCGAGCAGAGCTGGAACAGTTACGTATGAATGCTCAAGCCGAGCTGACTCGTCACGTGACCGAGGCGGACGACCGTTTAGAGGCAGAAAGGCGACGCGTTGAATGGACGGAGAAACAGGTCGAACGTTGGCGTGTGTTGGCTCGGGAGGCCGAGGAGGCTCGATCTGTGCTTGCTTCTCGCTTGAACGAATTGCTCCAGTCACGGTGTATGGAAGCAATGCAGGTTTGTACTTTGGGAACTAGTGGTTTGTTTCCGAACATGTGACTATAGGTGATTAATAGACGCTTAATGTTACCGATAGGCTGACGGGAATTGTGTGGATCCAATTGGTTTAGTTTGGTTTAGCTTCAAAACGAATTTCCTTGTTCTGGTGCCCTCAGAAGGCTTATTACCAACGGAAATATACTTAAATATCAGAGAAATGATACTGCATATGTTGAAACCTTCACGTCGACTTCGGAGTGATGACTAGTTGTCCTAAGAGACAGCCTTATCGCTTTGGCACAGAACTGATGACATTTTCCTCACTTTCTGATATCACCATTTAACCTATGAAACATCGTTATCAAAACCAGAGACTTGGTCTGCATACTTAATTTGTCAGTATTACTATCATCCCACTAATACAGAAATTCACCATTAAATTATTTATCGGGAAGGACAAGTCTACTGCTATCATTTTTTGCACAAAACAGTCTACTCGGCGCTAGTAAGCATCGCGCATCACAAAAGCTCCCTCACACTAAAACCCAATAGGGTGCTGTCATACAACCCGTCTCATAAATTTACCTACTAGCCGTCTGCAATACTCACATATACAGTGAGTATTTAAAGTAGTTGCTGACTCCCTCACTCCGTTCCTCCCTCTTTGTTCCCACATTTGTGGTAATAATGAGTGTTGAAAAGGCAATCATTGAGGCTTTGGGTGACTAATTTCATTTAAGCTATCATTTGGGTGATTACGAGCGTTTGAAATTTCACTCGAATTAAGATGCCATTCTATGCACGGTGTGAATCTCGTCTTGACCAATACTCGACAGTTTGCCTTTTAGTTGCTCAGCTCGGCATATAGGACGATCGCAATAAATAAAATGATGGTTATCAATGAAAAACATAAATGAACATAAAAAAACTACTTTTATTACTGTTCATTTGGGGAGTAAGGAAGAAGAGCTGTTCAACAACGTGCCTCGTATCTAAACAAAACCCTTTCTTGAGATAAATCTACTACAGTTACCGATTCAGATTAGAGTTTTTGAGTTTTCCGGCCCGATATGACCATCATAGGCCACGCATCACGTGATTCATATTTGTATCTGTTTGAATTGTCCGTTGCACCAACGTGGACCAAGTGGATATCGACATTTGAAGCAAATCAATGGACACCCGCATATGATCACTTGTGATCGATAGGCCATTACAGTTCTACAGAATGAAGTATCCTGGTTGAACGCAGGTTGTAGACCAGTATCAACAGTGGGCGTCAAAAAAATCATTGGTTTGTTCAGGTTAAAAAGGAAGGTGTAACAGGTAAACAAGTAAATCAACGAGACTTAATGAGTGAGGACGTCTGTAACCTGTTTTGTAAAGCAAGAAAGTGAAAAAAATTGATTTGGCGGTCAAATATTTGTAGGTAATACAAAGTTTGCAAATCAGTAATTAACTGAATCAAAACGGCGAATAGGCTCATTTTCAGCAGTATTTAATCATTAGAGTGCATTCCAGTATCTTTCACTAGATAAACAGAAAATTGTTCACACATCTACCTATGTCTTCTTTTGTTGACAAAATGCATAAAGAGAAAAGTAAATTTCCCAAGTAGAAAATTCTACTGTGGAAGGAACAATACATTAGTAAGTTCACTTTGAAACCGCGTGAGATTCGCAATGATCAACTCATGGTTTATCTACTTATCCGTTGACCAAGATTATTCGGGTGTCGAATCCTGTCTGGTTTCAGAGTGACTTAACTGTCAGCAACAAATATTCTGGGGCACACTGGGAGAATTTATTTCTACTACTTCTGTTAGAACTAGAACAGGTAACCTGCTTCAATAGTCAACCGGGAATCCCATACGGGGGATGGAGCATTTCGCCACGTTCACCAAAACTTGTAAACTGCAAGTGGAACCGTTGTGACTTCATGTGAATCCACCAATCACATTCCACTGGTAACCCCACAATGTGATTGGTGACTTAGTCATCACACCTCACCTATCAAACCGAGTTTACATAAATCCCATCCAGTCTGAATGAACTGATTTCTTCGCAACCGACCAAAAGTAATTAATTTAATTTCTGATAACGAGTGAATGAGTTATATTTGATAATAATATTCAGGTGTTATACCAATGATTGTTTTTTCTGTATCAGTGTACCATTATTACGAATCTCGTGAATTGGGCCCTTCAATATCAGTAGTCTATAGATAGTTGCATTTGGTTCAACAGAAGTGCTGTTAATTGAGGGAACCTTGGTCTCAGTGGAATTTCCGACTAGAGTATTAAGGACTTACGCTGAACCCGCTCACGGAAAGATTGAAGCCTGAGCAGGGTGACCAGTTTACCTATCCTAATTGACGTGATTCACTACCTCACAATCAAAGTCAGTTACCATCGGGTTCGTTCATTCTCGTTTAAAGCTCATTCGATCGAAGGGCAAGGGTATTAGGTTTGAGAAGGAGGAGGAACGAACAGTCAGACTCCACCCCAATCTCCAACCTTACTCGACAACTCAGTCGAAAAGTGCCTTTGTTTGTTTGTGGTGAAGTCGCTTCATTCACACCGGATGGGGTTTGATAGACCCGGTAAAATTGGTGAGATATGACAGTCGAGGTGCCAATCACTTTGCCATCTTCCCCGTAGAAGGTGATAGGTGAATGCAATTGAAGTTTAAAAAGCATAGAATTGAAATGACTTCATTAGTAAGTGACTTAATTGTCCCACCATTTACTTCATTTACTTCTGGTCAAAAGACTGAAGTATCACTCAGTAATCTGCGACAGCTCCTGTTGATACAACAGTTTTATATTTCAAAGATATGATTACGAACCAGTGAAGATGAGTTCTTTCACTCCTCGTTGTTTGGTTTCCAAATTGTTCGGAGTAGACAACACCTTAAATTAACGAAACAGTAACAGAGCACGTATTTCAAACAAATTTTCAACTTTCCATATGAGCAGAGCTTACTATAGCCAACTGTTCACTCAACTGGGTATGGTGATTTGCTATTGTCAAAACGATTATTTTAGACGGATCTCTGTTTGGACTACCATCCTGGGGTTATCTAGTTTAGCCATGGAGACCGTAAATGAGATAGTCAGAGCTTGAAAAATGAGAGAAAACCGTCAGGGCCAACGCCGTATGTGAGTGAAATCAGAATGATGCGAATGATTGCTGAGAATTCCACTCTCTTCCAATAAAGAACAAACTGAAATGTAATTTCCACTGTTGATACGAGAGAAACGAAGCTCAGAATCATAGAAACAACTCAAAGGCGTGAGAGAGAAACTCGAGTCTAATGCTTCCCGAAAGTAAGATTGATTGAGTGAACTGAGGATTGTGCGTGAAGATGGAGTCTGAATTAGGATCAGTTCCAATCATGCTGATTGGAAGTCAAACATAGGAATACCGCGTAGAAAGACTCCTCTGTTTACTTGTCCATACAAGTACACACATACTTCGAAATGAGGCGAGGAAAATCGTAAGTAAGAATATCATTTGAAATATGACAAAAGGTACATGTGATTCCAATCAACTTTCATCAAAATGTATCTACGGAAATTTACTCTGTTTACGACGAAATCCAGTGAAAAATTGAATCAAATTCTCAACTACACTCATGTAAGAAGTTGTCGGGTTGGAATGTTTCAAACAGAGACCTACCCATGGAGGCTAGTGCTGAGATGAGCGAGGTTTAATGCCCACAATAAGCTCACAAATACAGGTGGTGCTATATCGTGTATAAGAGAAGGTGGTCGAGTCGGTAGCGTGCTTGCGTTCTACCTGTGAGGCCCCCGGCTTGGTCTCCAGTTGAATTGGTGGATTAGCAATACTGATAACAGCCGAACAGGTCAAAAACTTGCCCAGTGCGTTTTAAATTTTCGGTTTACGCTTCATTTGCTCTGTACACAAATAAACCCACTATAAACCCCAAAAATGTTTGCTCGTCAGCGCACTCAGTGTATCAGTAGTTTTGAGGACAAGAAACCGCAAAAACGTTAAATCCCCACGGTTCATACAAACCAATCAAGAACGAACGTGATAGCGAAAATTTTGGACTGGATGATGAAACAAAAATGTTGGGAACATTTTTCTGCTTCGCTTTATAACATGCAGAATTTGATATTTCAATCCCTCACAGTCTTTGAACTACTATGGAAATACACAGCCTAAAATTCTGATCTTTCTAAGTAAACAACATAACCTTTGTAGTACATAGTTGCCCAACTCAATCTACTCGCTGATAAAAGGAGAACTGAACTGGAATCTGATGACCTGAGATTTTGGTGTCCTTTTGAAACTGTACTGTAGTTTCACCACAGTATTATAATACATCCAACACACCAGGGAGCCAACGTTCTAAATCCTCTTTCGCTTTGACTGATATTCGTAGCCATAGTAACTGTTAACCTTCGTAAGCGAAACTATTGTACTGAACAACTGTACACGTGTGAAGAAATCAAAACCCGTTATCTTTCCTAATCCGAAGGCCTTTGCAAATATTTCAGATGAAATCATTGTCAAAATCTGTTTCAAAAAGTTTATTCAGCATTGAAAAAATTAATATATTTGATTGTTTTCTCCTGAATCAGTTTCCGCATAAAACCTGCTTCACTTGACAAACCTATTAAACAAATAATTGCGATGTTTAGGTGAAAGTGACGACTTTCGTGAGGTACTTTTCCTATTGCGGTGTATTCAGTCTTTTTATCTTATTTTATTTTTTTGCCGGCGGATCCCATTAAACCGTCCAGCAGTAAGTTTTGATGATAATCTTCTTTAAACATTCTGAAACCAGTAAATGAGAAACCACTATTTTATGTCCCGTGTGTACGACATCGTGTTTTTCCGAAAAATGTAGTAATGTGATACATAGTTGAACCCATTGTCTATTTACGACACCGACGGTGATAGTGTGTAAACGAAAAGACCTGAAAATCACTTGTACTTTTCAGTTGAATACAGTGAATCGCCTATACAATTTGGACCTTGTGTCATTCAA